GTAGAACGTGGTGCCCTGTAGAACGTGGTGACCTGTAGAATGTGGTGACCTGTAGAACGTGGTGACCTGTAGAACGTGGTGACCTGTAGAATTTGGTGATCTGTAGAACGTGGTGACCTGTAGAATGTGGTGACCTGTAGAATGTGGTGACCTGTAGAACGTGGTGACCTGTAGAACGTGGTGACCTGTAGAACGTGGTGCCCTGTAGAATGTGATGACCTGTAGAATGTGGTGACCTGTAGAACGTGGTGACCTGTAGAACGTGGTGACCTGTAGAACGTGGTGCCCTGTAGAATGTGATGCCCCTGTAGAACGTGGTGCCCTGTAGAACGTGGTGACCTGTAGAACGTGGTGACCTGTAGAACGTGGTGACCTGTAGAATGTGGTGACCTGTAGAACGTGGTGACCTGTAGAATGTGGTGACCTGTAGAACGTGGTGACCTGTAGAACGTGGTGACCTGTAGAACGTGGTGCCCTGTAGAATGTGGTACACTGTAGAATGTGATGCCCCTGTAGAAAGTGGTGACCTGTAGAAAGTGGTGACCTGTAGAACGTGGTACCCTGTAGAATGTGGTACACTGTAGAATGTGATGCCCCTGTAGAACGTGGTGACCTGTAGAAAGTGGTGACCTGTAGAACGTGGTGCCCTGTAGAATGTGGTACACTGTAGAATGTGATGCCCCTGTAGAAAGTGGTGACCTGTAGAAAGTGGTGACCTGTAGAACGTGGTACCCTGTAGAATGTGGTACACTGTAGAATGTGATGCCCCTGTAGAACGTGGTGACCTGTAGAAAGTGGTGACCTGTAGAACGTGGTGCCCTGTAGAATGTGGTACACTGTAGAATGTGATGCCCCTGTAGAACGTGGTGACCTGTAGAAAGTGGTGACCTGTAGAACGTGGTGCCCTGTAGAATGTGGTACACTGTAGAATGTGATGCCCCTGTAGAACGTGGTGACCTGTAGAAAGTGGTGACCTGTAGAACGTGGTGCCCTGTAGAATGTGGTACCCTGTAGAATGTGATGCCCCTGTAGAAAGTGGTGACCTGTAGAACGTGGTGACCTGTAGAATGTGATGCCCCTGTAGAACGTGGTGACCTGTAGAAAGTGGTGACCTGTAGAACGTGGTGCCCTGTAGAATGTGGTACCCTGTAGAATGTGATGCCCCTGTAGAAAGTGGTGACCTGTAGAACGTGGTGACCTGTAGAATGTGATGCCCCTGTAGAAAGTGGTGACCTGTAGAACGTGGTGCCCTGTAGAATGTGGTACCCTGTAGAATGTGATGCCCCTGTAGAAAGTGGTGACCTGTAGAACGTGGTGACCTGTAGAATGTGATGCCCCTGTAGAAAGTGGTGACCTGTAGAATGTGGTACCCTGTAGATAGTGGTGACCTGTAGAACGTGGTGACCTGTAGAACGTGGTGACCTGTAGAATGTGATGCCCCTGTAGAAAGTGGTGACCTGTAGAAAGTGGTGCCCTGTAGAATGTGGTACCCTGTAGAATGTGATGCCCCTGTAGAAAGTGGTGACCTGTAGAATGTGATGCCCCTGTAGAACGTGGTGACCTGTAGAAAGTGGTGACCTGTAGAACGTGGTGCCCTGTAGAATGTGGTACCCTGTAGAAAGTGGTGACCTGTAGAAAGTGGTGACCTGTAGAACGTGGTGCCCTGTAGAATGTGGTGCCCTGTAGAATGTGGTGCCCTGTAGAAAGTGGTGACCTGTAGAACGTGGTGACCTGTAGAAAGTGGTGACCTGTAGAACGTGGTGCCCTGTAGAATGTGGTACCCTGTAGAATGTGATGCCCCTGTAGAAAGTGGTGACCTGTAGAATGTGGTACCCTATAGAACGTGGTGCCCTGTAGAACGTGTTGTTGTAAATAAACTTTGTACGGAACTAAACTTTACATGAAACCATGTTATAAAGGATCCGATCAGCTAGTTTTGCCCTCATTTACAGTGGCTTAGATAACGGCGCAGTGCTCGTGGCTCTGGTGTTAAAGAGCATATTGCAGGTGAGAGACTCCCATGAACCAATGTTTAGAGAAACGTAATAGAAACTCGTTTAAATGGTTTTTTGCACATACATGAATTATTTAGGCTTTTAGTCATTGTTGTGAGAAAGTTTTTTTTTTGCCAAACCAAGTGATGCCAGCTGAGGGAGTCCTGTTAGTTTTATCCAGAGAAAAACATGGATTCTGATGCGGTTCTGACCCAGAGGAACCTTTCAATGTTTACAATTCTACTCACGATGGACCAAAACCATAAAGGTATGAGGTTGCTGCACGCCCCAGAGAGCAGAGACAGACCAGAGGGGGAAACCATCGGTCTACGCAGACCACACCATGTTAGCTTAAACTCGTGTGCTAGCATCACAATATAGTACAGATTACTATCGTGTACCAGACAATTAAAATGGCATCGGCCAGTTAATATCATATTAATACTAATGAGCTGTCTCATACTCGTTAAGATCCGTCCACCTAACCTAGTTTAGCTTGGAGAGAGGGAGAGCTTCCGGTACTGGAGCTCATGCGGGCTTCTGTGAGCTGGACCTGACCCAAACACCAGCAAGCCAGTCCCGTTGGTATTCTGAAAAGCTGCACATGATCCTCTCCTGGTTGTCCGGGCGGCGGTTCTGATCCGGTTCCGACCTGGAACCAGCTGGCCTGCTGGGCCGCGTGTCTCTTCTGGTGGTCGGTTCTGACCTGGTTCTGATGGTGATCTGAGCTCCAGAAATATGCATTTAATTTTTTAAACCCCGCCTCGGGTGTCCCGAGCCCAGCGCGGACCTCCCTGACCCGGTACTGACCGATGTGGTCTACAGAGGTCCGTCTTTTCAGCTGCAGAAACGCCCTCAGACACGGAGATAGAGGCGCTGTTCCTGTGATCTGGAAACCCGGGGACTCGATGTCCAGACAGGCTGGAGTCGGTACCGCCTTCACACACTCTAGTTTACCAACATGAACACAACCCAACACTAGTAAACACACACTGACTGGGTCACATGACCTCTCTACCCTAAACTAGCCACTCTCCACACCGAGCTGAGGCACCGAGCTTCCGACTCCCTGTGGTTACGTCAGAGTTCACAGAGAAACGAGCCTTTTTAGGAGCTCTGCTGAGAAAGGCCACTTTATTAGAAAACTGCTGTTTTAAAACCAAATATCCACAATAAGCATTTCAAATAGCATTTTATATGAATTAGAAAAAAAATCTACCTGCAATTGGCTCTTTAAACAAGTTTAATGTTTCTCTTTGCAACAGTCTTCACAAGAAGGCGAACGGTTAAATAACGGGTCCACGCTGAGCGGATATTTCCTGGATTTGACCGTTTATTTCGACGGAGAAGGAACAGAAAGATGCACTGACATTTTAATGGTTACGCACATCGCAGAGGTAGCTTCGTCACTCAAGAACAGATTCCCATCAGAACATCTGAGCTCCGCGCAGCTCGCTGTCAGCGCGTACGTGAGGTGGACAGCGAGCTGAAGACGTGGGGAGGGGCTTGGAGCGCGTCGCAGAACCAGAACCATGCAGGAAGCTTCCTGCTACTGAAGCGAGTGTTGTCCAAACCCGGTCTCTCAGAGGGACGTGTCCCTTAGAAAATGTTCCTGATGATGAAACTTTGGCTGAACAGCGCTTGTTCCTGCCTCCAGCGTGGCGACGCCTCCGTGAGCCCGTCTGAGGAGAAGTCCAGAACCTCACATCCTCTTCAGCTCAGAAAGCTCCTATAGAGACATCTGGTTACACACAAGCAGGTGACCTGTCAGGACCTGGACCTGTTCAGGTTTACCTGGTTCCTGGAACCTGGTTACCAGGTTCAGTGGCCTAGTGGTAGAGTGTCCGCCCTGAGACTGGGAGATCAGGGTTCGATTCCTGGTCGGGTCAGACCAAAGACTTTGAAAAAATGGGACCCAATGCCTCCCTGCTTGACACTCAGCATTACGGGGTTGGATTGGGGGGTTAAACCACCAAATGGTTCCCGAGCGCGGCGTGTCTGCTGCTCACCGCTCCCCCAGGGGACGGGTCAAATGCAGAGAATAAATTTCACACACACCTGTGTGTGTGTGTGACGACTAAATGGGACAGCTCACTGCTCCCCCATTAGCATACAGATAAAAATGTAATGCAGTAAAATAAAATCACTTTTAATTAAATAATCATTCATTATTTTACAAGCAGAGAGAGCCGCGGGTGGCCGAGCCCTGGCTTACACCATCCCTTCACTCAAATACACAAATGCTAGCGTCCTCTCTCGTTCAGCTCTCCTTCAGTGCTATGTTAGCATTCAAGCTAGCACCTATTAGCCAACACAGCAGAATCCATCCATCCATCCATTTTCATCCGCTCATCTGGAGTCGGGTCCCGGGGGCAGCAGCCTGAGTCGAGAGGCCCAGACTTCCCTCTCCCAGCCACTTGGGCCAGCTCCTCCGGGGGAATCCCAAGGCGTTCCCTGGCCAGGTGAGAGACATCGTCCCTCCAGCGTGTCCTGGGTCTACCTTTAGGTCTCCTCCCGGTTGGACATTTAGAAGTCCCCGAACACCAAAGGTTGATGAGCGGTGACTTGTATGTGTGGTGGTGTGTATCCAGATCTGATCTGACGGACATCTTATTGTCCCAGCTCTACCTCCCAGGGTCAGTGGATGAGGATAAATATCTTGATGTAAAACATGTTGTTGTTTTTTCCAGCAAAGCAAAACTGAGTGTTTTTATTTTAAAATAAAGTGTAGCAGTTGTTTTAGTCTTAATTTAACTTTTTATTTTGTTTCTCTCATCTAATCTAATCTGTGCATTTGAATGTGGATGTCCTGATCTGCTGCTTTATGTGGTTGTTGATTTGAAAGGTGGTCTTGCTCCTGGAATGAATGGCTTCAGCGTGTGAAACGTGCTGCTTGAGTAAAGCTGCCTCGCCTTAGTGCCTCCTTGTTGTGCCTCCCCTAAAAGCACCTGTGCTCCATTCCTCCTGATCCCACCTGCTAACTGAAGCCTCTCTTCTGTCTGTCAGACGTCGGGCCACCTGCTGCGGAGGTCATCATGGGGGAACTGTTCAGAAGTGAAGAGATGACTTTGGCTCAGCTCTTTCTCCAGTCCGAGGCAGCCTATTGCTGTGTCAGCGAACTGGGGGAACTGGGAATGGTCCAGTTTAGAGACGTGAGTTTGAACGCCGTCTTTCAGCTAATTAGATTCTGTTGGACTTTAAACGCAGGGCATTTGAAAAGGAAATGTGTTACTAAATGACCTTCTTATGGTTTGGCTGTAAAGGTCTGAAGGTGTCAGGGTCAGGGTCAGTCCACTAGCCCGAGCCTTCGGTACGACTCGGCTGAACAACTCAGGAATAATTCAATTCAATTCAATTCAAAAATACTTCATTAATGCCAGATGGAAATTAATGACAAATGACCCGCACTTGTGTAGTTAGTGCCTGTCAGGGTCAGAGGACTCCAAAGCACTTTACACTACTTGATTACATCACCAAATCCAAACCTTCCACCTGTCAACTGGACCCTATTCCAACTGTTTTAGTTAAATCCTGCCTTTCTTCTCTGCTCCCTTTTATAACAGCCATTATTCATTCCTCACTATCCTCTGGTACGGTCCCATCCCTATTCAAATCCGCTTCAGTCAGCCCTATTCTAAAAAAACCTGGTTTAGATCCCAATGATTTCAATAACCTCCGTCCCATTTCCCATCTTCCCTTCATTTCCAAAGTCCTTGAGAAAACTGTTGCATCTCAGCTCCATTCACATCTCACCCGCAATAACCTTTATGAACAGTTTCAGTCTGGCTTCCGTCCCCACCACAGCACAGAAACAGCTCTCATCAAGATCACTAACGACCTACTCATTGCTGCTGATTCTGGTTTAATCTCTATTCTTATTCTCCTCGATCTGAGTGCGGCCTTTGACACCATTTCTCATCCCATCCTCCTTAATAGACTCTATTCCTTAGGCATCACTCACACCCCCCTCCGCTGGTTTCAATCTTACCTTACTGGCCGCACTCAGTTCATCCAGTTAAAATCCTTTACCTCAGAACCCTCCCCAGTCAAGTCAGGTGTGCCCCAGGGCTCTGTCCTGGGGCCCCTCCTCTTCATAGTATATCTCCTCCCTATCGGCAAAATCTTCCGCAAATTCAATATCCAGTTTCACTGCTTTGCAGATGACACCCAGCTCTACATTTCCAGTAAGCCCAACTCAACTCTCCCACCATCCTCCCTTACACTCTGCCTCTCTGAAATCAAATCATGGTTCACCTCTAATTTCCTCAAACTCAACGGCAATAAAACTGAACTTCTTCTAGTTGGCACTAACTCCACCCTCTCAACATCTGACAGCTTTTCTTTAACTATTGACAGCGCCACAGTCTCCCCCTCACCTCATGTCAAGAGTCTGGGTGTCATTCTCGACAGCTCCCTTTCTTTTCAGGCTCACATTAATAACTTAATTCGGTCAGCATACTTCCATCTACGTTCCATAAACCGTCTTCGTCCCTCACTGACCCCTCACACTGCCGCCATTCTCGTCCACAGCCTCGTCACCTCCCGTCTCGACTATTGCAATTCACTTCTTTATGGTCTCCCCAACAAACTCCTTCATAAACTGCAACTGGTCCAGAATTCAGCAGCCCGTATTATCACCAGAACCCCTTCCTTTCACCACATCACGCCGGTTCTCCAGCAGCTTCACTGGCTCCCAGTTAAATTCAGGCCCATCTTCAAAATTCTCCTCCATACCTTCAAAGCAATCCACAACCTCTCTCCTCCATATATCTCAGACCTTATAAGTATTCACACCCCGTCCCGTTCACTCAGATCTTCTTCTTCCATCCATCTTGCGGTTCCTTCTGCCCGTCTCGCTACCATGGGGAGCAGAGCTTTCAGCCGCTCTGCTCCTCGACTCTGGAACTCACTTCCCCCAGACATCAGGAACATCGACAGTTTTACCCTTTTCCAATCAAAACTCAAAACACATATGTTTAAATCTGCCTACAACCTCTGATTTTATTGAAATGTTTCTCTCTGTTTTTTCTTCTTTGGGTTTTATTATTGTTTTATTGTATTTTATTACGTGTTTTGTGTAAAGTGACCTTGGGTGTCCTGAAAGGCGCTTTGAAATAAAATGTATTATTATTATTATTACTAGAGTGTATCATTCACACACACACACACACGCTGATGGTGGTGAGCTACAACGTAGCTACAGCTGCCCTGGGGCGCACTGACACAGGCACCAGGAGGGTTAAGTACCCAAGGACACAATGGCAGAGTTCTCTGCTGAGAGCTGGGATGGAACCTGCAACCTTCCATGTACCTGCGGAGCTGCTGCTCACCTGACAGGAACCAGGCCGGTTGAGCACACCTCCTCTGCTCTGGCCTCTTTACAATGGCTGCCTGAGTTAGTCTAAAGATGTTTGATTGCTTTTAAATGTGTTCATGGCCTTGCCCCACCTCACCTGCGTGAGCTACTGCAGCCATGCATCTCCTCCTGCTCCCTCAGGTCAGCAGATCAGCTGCTCCTGACAGACAACGCGTGAGCTTAGAGGAGATGGTGCTTCAGCTGCAGCAGCTCCTGGATCAGGCCTGTTCAGTTCCAGGCCTGGAGGGCTGCTATCAGCACGTTTTAGTGGTTTCTCTTCTCCAACACACTGGAATCAGTGGTTGAATCACCTGCAGCAGATCATCAGGCTTTGCAGAAGCCGGTTGATCACCTGCTGATTGAAGTCAGGAGTGTTGAAGCAGGGTTACAACTAAAACGTGCCGATACCAGAACTGAATATCCCGCTCGGGGACTGTGGAATGAGCTTCCTTTCAACATCAGACAGCCCCCCCCCCCCCCCCCCCCCGGCCTCTGACACCTTCTGAGATGTCGACTTCTAGTTTTACATCATCTTTATTATTGTTATTTAAACTGCGTTTTGTTTTGTTTTCACCATGATTTAGGTGAACCCTTTGGCCGTTGTACTTATTCTCGGTTCTGTGCTTTTATTCTGGAGCACTTTGGTCCTGCAGGTGTGCTTTACAAGTAAAGATGGTATGGTGTTCATGTCCCTAATCCAACTCAGACTGAGGAACCATCGAAAGGCTTAGTGTGAAGCTGTGAGCCGGCGTGAGGAAGGCTCGATCCAGACGGGAAGAACGTTTTCCAAACACCGTTCAACCCATTATCGAAGCCCTGTGAACCGCTCCAGTGAGAGCCGGAGTTCACGCTCTGATGAAGCCAACAGGACCACATCATCTGCCAAGAGCAGAGACCTGATCCTCGGACCACCAAAACAGATCCCTTAACACCTTGGCTGCTCCTAGAAATCCTGTCCATAACAGTTATGAACAGAATCGGTGACACAGGGCAGCCTCGGTGGAGTCTGTGGAAATGAGCCCGACTCACTGCCGGTGACAGCGGTCATACAGGGACCTAACAGCCCGTATAAGAGAGCATGGTTCCCCATACTCCCAGAGTACCCCCCACAGGGCCCCCCCGAGAGACGCGGTCCAACGCCTTCCCCAAATCCACAAACGTGTGGACTGGTTCCCACCGGGGTTGTTTTGACCACCTCAGTGGCCTCAGCCCCAGAGTCATCATTATTATTATTCTTACTGGGTTTTGGCAAGTAAAGCCATAAAATGAACAATAAATAAAACCAAGTAAAATAAGTTAGTACTTTTCCTGGTGTTAGTACTTATTCACCATGAGTGGTCCCTTTTAATGGGGAATTCCTAAGGAGGTGTTGTGCTCTTGTTTTGGCACAGTTGAATCCAGATGTGAACGTATTTCAGCGGAAGTTTGTGAATGAAGTGAGGAGGTGTGAGGAGATGGACAGGAAACTGAGTAAGTATGAAACCGGTTGAACAACTTTTACGCCTATAAAATATCAACTATTGAATTTTCTCTGATCAGGGTTTGTTGAGAAAGAGATCAAAAAGGCTAACATCCCGATGGTGGACACTGGAGAGAATCCGGAGGTTCCTTTTCCAAGGGACATGATCGACCTGGAGGTAATCAGTGACCTGCTGTTGCAGCCCTTCCTTGTCCTGTGCAGACTCTTCCATGTTTTCAGTTGTAGTACTCACAGCTGACTTCCAGTTGTCATCGTTCTTGGCAGGCCACCTTCGAAAAGTTGGAGAATGAACTAAAGGAAATCAACACCAACCAAGAGGCTCTGAAGAAGAACTTCCTGGAGCTGACTGAGCTGAAACACATTCTGCATCGAACACAGCAGTTCTTTGACGAGGTCAGTCACGCCCAGCCTTCAAGAACTGTTGGGTCCTGACCCTCCCCCCATTAAGGTGGGCAACTTATGGAATTATGTCTGAATTTGGTCTCCGAGGGTTCGGGCTCCTTCCCAGAGTCGTCACATGTTCGGCGCTTTCTGAATCACAGAAATGAACCAGCTGAGCTGCAGATGGGTTTCACCGTAGCCGTTACCCACCCTGCCACTCCGCTGGGACAGTGTAGAGAAGGGCGGGCGACACGTCCGTTTTATGGAGTCATTCAAACGTGACATTTAGGTTTGGGAAATCGGGATTGTTGTTCCACTCCTGGGCTTCTGTAGTTTGGAGTAAGGTCGGCTGCATGTCTCCCAAAAGCTCCGTTTGGCTGAAGTGGTCCCCATAAACGATAGCCCTCAGACACAAGCCCTACAGGTTAGGGTACCCAGATGACCTGCTGCCGTGACCTTCACTCCAAAGCTGCACTGCTACAATCCATTTCTGCAGACAGTTCGCTCTGCTGCTAGCTTTTAGCTTCCTCAGCTGCATACGGAGCATCCACGGTTCCAGAGGAGCCCAGGATAAATACCATGTAAAGCATTAATGCAGCTAGTTACTGTTGTGCTGCTAAAGCATGCTGGCGTTAATTGTTTAGCTCAACAGTGTCGTGGTGTAACCCTAAATGTCATCAGCCCAACCGTGTCTGATACCTAGCGTACCCAAGCTTCTGGAAAACACCTCAAGATTAAAACTGTTTCTTCATAAGTGTTGCTGCTTGTTGGTTAGCGTTAGCCTGGCCTGGTTTCAGCTCCAGCCGTGTTTAAACCCAGGAAAAGCTGTCAGGTTAATGCTATAAATGTGAGATGTATGAACTTCTACGTAGAGATGTGTAGGAAGATGAGCCTGAAGCGGCCTTCATGCTGACCAACGACCTGAAACATCGGTTTGCTTTGACAACCAGATCAGCCGGAGAGGAGAGATTGTTCATGTAGCTAAAAGGTGGACCAGCGCTAATGAAGTGGTCCAACAGTGACGGTCAAATTCAGTCTGAAATGCAAAGTTTGACACTGAATTGTTCATAAATCTCTAAGGCAGCAGGCACACGGCTTTAACTACAGCTTGTGTTCAGTTGGACTTTCACCCCAGGCCAACTCCCAAGAGGTCAAGTAAAAGCAAGCTTGTGAAACATATTGTGTCATTCATCAACTCTGCTTAAGGAAGGAACGGGAGAGGAAACGATCTGATTGAGATGAAAACCCTGTTAGATCCGTCAACGATCAACTGGTTGCAAGACGCTCACTACTGGCTCTTTGCACAATCATCAGTAAAGACCTACTATCCCTAACAAAGGTGTCTTTGGCAGATGGAAGACCCCAACCTGCTGGAGGAGTCCTCCGCTCTGATGGAGGGAAGTGAGGGAGGTCGTGGGGCGCCACTGAGGCTTGGGTAAAGTATCAGCTCATCCAGCCTTTCCTCTTCCAGGTCAGCAGAACGTTATCCAGCTGTAGGAGGGAGCAGGAGAACATGGATGTCACCAGACGTGAAACCATAATTATTAAACGACTTTCTCTAATAAAAAGAAACGGTTGGAGGGTGTAATATTTTAACCAGGCCCCACAATGCGGCTCAAAAATTGGTCCCAACCCGGAAGAACCAAAAATTGCAGTTCCACCCTCATCCACTAGGGGCTGGTGTCAGAAGCGAGCAAATCCTCATTGACTCCCATGTTAAAAATACCAATTTCACAGCAGAAATAAACATGTTTACAGCCTGGTACCAGAACATGTTTTAGGTTTAAATGATCTAGTTTACACTCATGACAACTCTGAGGGGGGTGAATGTTTTTCTCAGCCTTTACATACAGTCTGTTCTCCAAAAGCCTTGGAGAACGGCTCTGATGTGCTTCTAGTAAGTCCAGTGAGTAGGGTGCCGTAAGGCGTTAGTCCAGAGTTCAAGTTCCGTGAACAGCGGGGAAGGTGGTGAGCCGAGGTGAGTAAGGATGGGGGTCCAGTTGAGTGAGGTGGGTGAGGAAGCGGAGGGGGGAAGGGCAGGAGCCGTGGAGGAGGATGGGACGTAGTCCTGAAGATCCGGGGTTCTAGCGGCGAAGGTAGTGGACGCAGTAGTGGGTTCCTAAACAGGGCAAAGCAGACAGGGGTTCAGAGGCGAGTCCAAAGTCATAATCCAAAAACAATCCAAGGTCAGAGATCCGAATAATCAAATCACAAATACACAAGCGAGCAAACAGGCGAATACGAGTGGCAGGGGCCAACCAAAACTGTAGCAATCATCCGGCGTCGAGTGGTGTCTCCATCCTCCCTTTATACCAGAGCCTCTGACTGCGAATCCAGCTCAGCTGGCGTCCCCTCCGCTCCTCACCTGTGGAAAAGAACCTCAAAGGTGGTTTATTGAGGAAGAGCACTCACCTCGGCTCGTGAATCATGACAATAAGACGTAGGACATCCAGGTAAGGTTGGGTCCTCCCCCGCCTGGACATCCCCCTCCCCCATGATGGAACATAAGAGGAGCCAAGGTCTACCTGAGCCCGGGCCAGGCGCTGCCACATGTTCCGCCTTCTTACGGCAGCATACATGTCAGGACCCGACCCCCAAGGCCCCGCCCAGATCCCCACACGGGGCCGGCCACCCCCACATGTGCCTCCCTAACCAGCTGTAGCTTAGGGAGAGGAGAGGGTTGTCCAGCAAACAGTAACCCTAACCCCTGCTGGTGTGTGCTTGGTAGGGATGCTCCGGTCTGATCACGGGATCGGAAATCAGGCCAGATCACACGATTTTAATAGGATCGGATTGGATGTAACCGTTTAAAACAACAAATATGACTTTTTAAATTCATCCAGAGATAGAACAATGGCTTAGCTTTAATTTCAGTAAGTTCCTCTACATCAGTAACATTTGTTTCTTGTATTAAAACAACAAAGTCACGTCACCCAACTTACGGCAGCCACGAATTCAGACATCAAGGTGCAGCTGTTAGCTAGCAGGCTAACGCAGAGCTAACGTGTCTCCTCAGGAAAGCTAAGATATCTGCAGCTTGGTCTTTTAAACCGGACAGCGAAGGCAGAGCTGCAAAACGTCCTCTTCGCCGTGCTCCTCGCTCGACTGGCTAGATCACTAAATCCCTCGGGACATCAAAGGTTACGGTTTGTTCGTGCAAACCGCCATCAAGCCAAAAGAAGGAAACCACGCTGTTATCGCTGTTTGATGTCACATGTGATGTTGTTCCGCTCCACCGCCAGGATTAAAGCCACGAAAACACACCGCTGCACTTCTGGAGCGATGCTGGGAGTAAAGGAACCGCCGGGTCACACCTAAGCTTCACGTATATGGAACTGCATCGCTGCAATACTTTTATTTTGAAAATTACTGAAACCGTGTGTGATTTCCTGTCTAGCCCTGTGTTAACAGAACAAATAGAACCCGATTCAATCTTCAGCGGAGCGGCTGGTTTGAAAACACTCCATAATGAATTCCCTTTGGAGCAGCGCCGTTCGGCGCCGCTGACGCTTCCGGTGTGCGGCAGGGTTACCCCCCCACCCACCTGCTGGCGGTGGTCGGAGGGACCGGTTAGGCTTAGCGGTCTCTGTCAGTGCACCCCAGGGCAGCTGTGGCTACGATGTAGTCAAGAGTCAAGAGTCAAGAGAGATTTATTGTCATATTCTCCACATGTGCGGGACATACAGAGAAAGGAAATTCAGTTTCAGCACACACAATTCAAAGATCAGACATACGTGGGTAAGACACATAACAAGAATTGGTGACTGCGGTCATTCGCAACATGAGTCGCGCTACCTTAATAGTTAGATGAAAAGGGTGTTACATGAGGAAAGTTCAGGGAGGGGAAAAAAAGGCATTAACAGGGTTACACCAGCAGGGTGTAGCACTCCAATGCAAAAAAACACCCGACGTGGAAGCACAGACAGCACGTATACAACATCAGAGTCCGATGGGGAGGTGGGGGTGGGCGGGATCCTGAAGCCTCCAATGGGAGCTGCCACTGCGGCGCATCGACCAGCTGCAGAACAACAGGTGGGAGGGAGAGATAAGGAACAGAGAGCACATTGAATTCCCTGCAGATATAGCCTGAAGGGAGAGGGTGAAGGTCGGGACACAGCATCTGTCGGCATTCCTCCTTTTGTGGGGGTGTGTTGAGGCAGCCTTGAGAGGCTGCTATGGCGTCAGATAAGGATAAACATGACTTTGTTTAGGGCAGACAGAGATAATCTTCCCCTCCGTCTTGTAGTCTCTAAGTGGTCATTCATGTCCACCAGTGAAGCCAATTTTACATTCCACATCCCCGCACCGTCCGGCGACCCTCTCCGAGATCAAATCCATCTTGCGCACTAACACAGGCAACGCCGCAAGGACCTTGTCCAGCTTACGGTTCACCTCGAGTAACGTCCCAGTCTGTGAGGTCACCGCACGAGCGGCACATTCCGTGGGTACGGGTCGCACTCCAATCGCTCCCGTCTTCCCAAATTTCCAGAAAACCAGATATCCTCCCACTCCAATCAGAAGAAATTCACTGATCATCAGGCCGAATATCCACAAATCTTCCACGTCCTCGATGGACAGCTGAGAGAGGCACACGATTCGCCAGACCTCCCAAGAATCGAGTGCATATCCCGATGCGAATGTCCCCTCGGGACAGGTGGGAGCCCCCTTCTCCGTTCTCATCGTAGAGAAAATTTTGTCAATCACGTTGAATGACCAGTTAATTAAGTCCATATTTCCAAAAAAGAGTAGTGGTTTCAGGAGAAATGCAGAGAAGTGCTCTGTAGGCAGACAGGACAAGAGCCTTGGGGAAGCCGATAAGGGAGCTGAGAAAAAAGCGTCTGTACTCTCTGAAGGCTGATGTAGCTCATCAGCATGTGAATGGGTGAATGAATAATTGCGTTGTAAAGTACCTTGGGGGGTTGTAGCACCCTAGAAGACGCTATACAAATACGGGTCAACTAGAAAGCTCACTGGACTTATTGTTGTTGTCCTCCTTGCAGGTTTGTGGCCGGAGTGATCAGCAGAGAAAGAATTCCTACCTTTGAGCGGATGCTGTGGAGGGTGTGTCGTGGTAATGTGTTCCTGCGGAAGGCAGAGATTGAAGACCCTCTGGAGGACCCCACAACGGTCAGCCATTAACCTCGGTGGAGCAGTAGCTGAAAGAATGAAGGATGTGTTGTAATGATGCTATTTATGTCCAACAGGGGGACCAAGTTCACAAGTCGGTGTTCATCATCTTCTTCCAGGGTGACCAACTAAAAAACAGGGTGAAGAAGATCTGTGAGGGGTTGGTGTCACACGATGACCGTCCTTAGTTCCTGGTTAAAGGGTGTTGTTCGAGGCCATAACTTAACCCCGGCCGTGATTGTGGGTACCGGGATTCAGGAAGGAGAAACCCTGGATAAACGGAAGAATGCGATGCTCTCTAGCCGATGTAAAAGAAGACAAAAATAAGTTGTAATGTCCTGCGTACCGCACTTCTTATGAGATATTGTTTTCTTTAGGGGTCTTCACAACAAACCTGCCTAATTAAAAGCCCAGGAATTAAAAATGGCCTTTGTCCTAGTGATGGCGCTGTTCGAACAGCCAAAGGCAGAGCGTTCCACAACCGAGCCCAACCACCGAGAAGCAGAGGTCTGGACTCGAGTCACATGACTTGGACTCGAGTCATAATTTTAATGATTTCTGACCTCCATCCATCCATTTTGCGACTTGAATCGACCTGCATCTGTTGCCTTGACGATGACTTGAGCATATTTGACATTTTAGCACAAAAGTGGCCCGACGTGGACAAAAACCACAGATTATTCCTCGGTCTTGTCCCGCTAATGCAGCGGCACTTTCTGCTGTTCGAGCGAATAAACGAAGCTTTAGGAAGTTTTAGTCTGGAATTTATTTATTATCGTCGTTAAATTGAAGTTTGCACAGATGACTTGAAAATTCAGAGTTAACAGACTTGTTCTTGACCTGGACTTTCACATCATTGACTTTGGACTCGACTTGGACTTGGTTGTCTTCGACTTGGACTTGCCTCGAGACTTGACTGGAAAGACTTGTGACTGACTTGTGACTTGCACAGCAGTGACTCGGTCACACCTCTGCCGAGCATCCACCTGGCGATTCTATGTTATGTGCTGGGATAGACAGCAGACACTGGGCGGCAGCGTAATGGTGTGAAAATTAATTTAAGATGCTTAAATTAATAGCAAAAGGTTATTTATTAATCAGAAGATTCTTTTCATTCGATAAACTGGAAATGCAACCCTTTTCTGTGTTTCGCTTCAATAATGAGGCAAGTTTAAAAATGAAGAAATTTTATTACTAACAATTTTAAACTGAAAGATTTGAAACGACAATCATAAATGGCAGTTTTGATGAAAATCAATAACAGCTCTGATATTAGTTGTTTAAACACAAACCCGCGTTTGAATGGAGCTAAAATTCAGAATGATGAGTTTTGGACGCGTGAAAGTACGGTAGTTCTCAGAAGGTTTCTTTCAGAGGGGATGGAAGGAGTTCTGGATGAAATGATGTTTTGCGGATAACTGAGTTATTTTTAGAGAAAACAGCGTCAAACGTCATCTGTCGTGTTCTACCTCACCCAAAACAGGACCACTTTGTGGGTCCGGACGTCAGGAGGATGGGTGGCCCTTCGGCTGGTAGAATAGACGCAAGTGTCCGACGGTCCGGTCCAGAGATGTCCCGGGTACACGGCTGTACGAAGTGTTTGGCAGATGCACGTTTCGTCTCTTAACTTAACTTCGGAAATCAAAAGTCTCTGGGAGAGTCTTGCGTTAGCTGGTTTATGGTTCGTTTGTTCTTTAGCCGTTCTTGTCGGCGTGACAGAACAGCTGGCAGAGGTCAGCAGGGCGGCCGTCCCTGGCTCCTCAGGAAGATGTCTCGTTCAGAACTGGACGTGAATCTGTGACGGTTAGTTTTTACCAAACTCTCTCAGAAGCCCTCCCCCTCTCCCGGGAAGAAAGCTTGGTCATGCGTCAAAAACGTGATGCAGTCATTGTTTATCTGAACTCTGTGTTGGCTGAACAGGGTGAAGGTCTTCTTTGCTGAACACGTCTTTAATCATTATAATAATTATCATTATAATACCCAAAGCATAATAATCCATTTCATGTAATTAAGATACCTTTATAATGAGCCAAGTGATCATGTGGTAATGATTATTTAAACAGTAATAAAATCAATGAAATATTAATTATTATTTAATTATTATCATCGTGGCTTGAAGCGTCCTTCTTCTGACGGAGCAGCAGATACTGGTGTTATGATCTTGGCAGACATCGTGGCTCTTTGGGCTTTAACCTGTGGATTCAAGGTACTGTTTGACCCAGCTTGACCCAGCTGGGCAAATGTGACCTTTGGCACAAATCAGAGAACCTTCATCACGCTACAGCAGACCTCAGCGAACGCATAGACAGCAGGCGGTTTACAAGTGGCTGAAGATGAACAGGCGCCTCCCCAGATAAAGCTTTAGAAACAAAGTCTAAAACCTTAAAATCAATTCTAATTTCATCTAAGTCATCCTATAAGGCCACTTACACACTAGCGTCGGCTCCACTCTGCCTCAGCCCCCCCAGCCACGTTCGTTCCACACTGCCTGCTGACGTGATTGAGCACATGGGCAGTCTCTGGGCGGTGATGTCCTCCAATAGGAGGCTCCCTGGTACACGTGCTTTGAGCCAGCCAATCAGTCGGCAGTGGGCGTGTCAGCCATGTTCGGCTCCAGGCTGACCGCCTCGAGAAGAGGGCTGAAAAGACATCTGGTTGCACAAGGCTACACCTAAATGAGAAAACTCCCAATCCGGTGCGGGTGGAGTGGAGCTGACGCTAGTGTGTAAGGGCCTTCAGGTGCACCGGCATGTTGCGCCCTATCGGAGCTCTCATCTAGCTGTCTTTTTCCGCTGTGTTGTTCCTGCCCTTGGAGAATCAGGCTGCTCAGTGGTACATTGTATTGTGTAGTAGAAAAAACTTTCCTTCTGTCTTCCTCTCACACCGAGTGTTTGTCTGCAGGTTTCGTGCCTCTCTTTATCCGTGCCCAGAAACCCCACAGGAAAGGAAAGAGATGCTGGCAGGAGTCAACAGTCGCATTGAAGACCTCCAAATGGTGAGCTTTAAGTGATCTATTGAAGAAGGTTTCTAAGGCGTATTAGCAGGTTTGTTTACTGGATGACTACTCTGTTTAATTATTAACAATGCTCTTGACATCTCTCATCGACATATAAAAGCCAAAAATAGTTAGGATAACGTTAACCCAGACAATCCAAAAATGGGACAAGAGGCGGAGCTTAGCTACTTAGAACTTTCTTCTAGATATTTCCTGCAAATTAGCAACAAAATAGCCATTTTCGCTCCGAACCGTTCTTTGGGTTGACGTTGTTTCCGCTGTCATCAAGGATATAAACGTTACAGATACAAGAACGTCACTGGCACTTTAGCTCTCTTAGTAAGATGGCTGACTCTCATGTAGGAGACATGGTTTCGATTCCGGGTGTGAACATAGATTATTTAGAGTTTATTTTTTACATAAATGATCATTTTTTTACAGTAAGATGCCCAAATTTTTATTTGAGACTCGCCGAACGGCATTGAATTCACAGATAAAAAAGATGTGGGTTCAACTTTCATTTTGGAACAATTTTTCAAGCAAGGGAAGGGAATGATCTGAGCATGCAGGAGGACTGACCCATCATAAACCTTTGTCGGCTGTGCTGAAGAGAAAGGTACAGAACCACATTATTTAATTAATTAGCTGCACGTTCTCCTGTCCTCTGTCCTCCGGGCCACACACACACACACACACACACACACACACACACACACACACACACACACACACACACACACACACACACACACACACACACACACACACACAGCATGGAGGATGGGTCACAGCATGCGCGCCTCGTGCACGAGCCTACTATTGAAGCTGCCGTTACGCTTTTGGCCTGAGGGGGCGATCACGAGCATAAAAATTCAAAAGTCCCTTTAAAGAATAAAGTCCCATTAGTTGTCACACTGGGCTGCACAGATTTAATTCATAACTTTTATGGGCAAGATTTGCAGAGGCAGCGAAGGTGTTAAGGAGGTCCTTCGTGGTGGCCTAAGGATCAGGTCTCTGCTTTTTGCAGATGATGTGGACCTCTTGGCTTCATCAGAACATGATCTCCAGTTTTGCTGGAGCGGTTAGCAGCTGAGACCATGGTGTTGCAAAAATTTAGAATGCCTTCTCTGGGTCAGGGATGAGGTCCTGTCTCAAGTGGAGTACTTTAAATATCTCGGGGATAAGATTTGATCAATATCAAAGGCATTTTCAGTTCTGTGTATCGATCCAATTCCTTAACATGAAGTAGTTAAACCGGTGGACAGAAAGTACTTATACCTGTCAGTTTGTTTATGATAAATAATCAGTCGTACCTGTTTCAGTGGGAAACATCTTTCTTATGCACCCTGGGAAGGCAGAGTCGTCTTGTTCGGTGTTGCTGTAGCTTTAGTAGAGAGGGACACATCTCACCACAGGTCAGACTTGCTGGAGTCTGCTAGTGTGGAGGCTAAAGACGCTAGCATGGTAAACAGCGTTAGCTGATTAGTTACCTGCAGTGTTAACAGGAGAGGACGTGCCAACGTCACCGCTACTGCTGCCTGCAAATCCAAAAGTTGTAGCGGGTCAAAACATGTCAATAACGTTAAGTTATCGCGTATTTTGTGTCCAACGGCTTTTGTTTATCCGTAACGCGCCCTCGCTTGATAAAATATCTGCTTAGCAATTCTGCAAGTTACCCTGTTTTTATCCTTTCTTGTAAACAATAACCAAACTCCTGCTTCTGTAAGCTACGCAGCGTGCACGGTGATGTCATTTGCGCCAACTGGAACTGATTAGGGGAATCGTTTGCAAAAGTGGCGAACGATTCCTAGGAATTGAAACAATGGGATCCAGTTCTCAACAAGAACTGGTTTTTGAATTCCAACCCTAATCAAGAGTGAGGGAAAACTGGAGCGTGAGCTCGATAGGTGGATTGGTGCTGCATCTGCAGTGATGCGGGCGTTGTACCGGTCTGTCGTGGTGAAGAGAGAGCTGAGTCAGAAGGCGAAGCTCTCGAGTTACCGGTGGATCTACGTTCCTACCCTCACCTATGGTCATGAGCTTTGGGTAGTGACCGAAAGAACGAGATCACGGATACAAGCGGCCGAAATGAGTTTTCTCTGCAGAGTGGCTGGACTCTCCCTTAGAGATAGGGTGAGAAGCTTGTTCATCCGGGAGGGGCTCAGAGTAGACCTGCTGCTCCTCCACATCGAGAGGATCCAGCTGAGGTGGCTCGGGCATCTGGTCAGGATGCCTCCTGGACGCCTCCCTGGTGAGGTTTTTTCTGGGCACGTCCAACCGGGAGTAAATTAGGGGTTTACAATCTACTCAACCCATCAAGGATCGTTTAAGCAACTTTTGCTGCTCTCCTCAGTCTCTCCTAATATCGTCAAGACTTCAGCTGTCAGATGGACAAGGACAACAACCCTCCTGTCTACCATCAACACAGTTTGGATTAGAACATTGAACACACACACACGCACACACACCAACCCCAGGTGCAGCAGCGGCCCACCTTTTCACTCGGGAACACAAAGCTTCCAAGCGCCACTCCTACAGAGCACACTGATCCCAGGCAGCACCACCAGCTGCATCGGCCATCTGCACAATGGATGTGTAATCTGATCCTTCTGTATACACAGAGTAGTAAAAGATATGTTTTCTACCTTTAGCTGACAGTTTTGCCTCCTTCCTGTTGCCGACTAATGTCTTTGGAGTTGTCTGCATGTGGTTCTACCGACTGTTTTATGAAACGTTCTACTGTGCTCTTGTGAGTGAGGTTTTGGTGTTACAGAACAGAGCCTGGACTGGTGTTGTTTTTAAATCACATTCCATCAAGACCTTTCAAGCACGCCCTGAAATGTTGTTCCTCACTGCTGCTGCAGGTTCTGAACCAAACAGAGGACCACCGGCAGCGAGTGCTGCAGGCCGCCTCCAAGACCATGCGTGTGTGGTTCATCAAAGTGAGGAAGATGAAGGCCATTTACCATACACTCAATCTCTGCAACATTGATGTGACCCAGAAGTGTCTGATTGCTGAGGTGTGGTGTCCTGTTTCAGACCTCGACTCCATCCAGTTTGCATTGCGCAGAGGAACGGTGAGATGTGTTTTGCTTTTTAAAAATGCAGCAAAACTGTTGTAGTGGAGCCCACACTCAGGGTTTCCCCTGGCAGGCCACCAGGCCTTGCTTGGTCCCCCGTCATGGCCAAGCACCCCCGCTGTTACGGATGACCCACGGGAGCTAACTAAAGCTTGGTTTATGCTTGACGCATTCACTTTCCGCGCGGTGATGCGGTTCGCGGATGGAACGCGCTTCACAACTCGCAGCGTTTATGGTTCGTGCGGCTCGTCTCTGCGGTGAGCCAATATTCTCCCAAACTGTAGGGGGCAGCATGGAGCTCTACGGCATGCACCCAACACTACACCATAGTAGAAGTAGAAATTACTGTTTACAACATGGCATTCCAGCATTTTTAACAGCGTCCTCGTCTTTTCCGACAGTGCGAGCTATTTCTCTCCAAGAATTATTAACAACACGTTGATCACGGTGATCTCTGAGAGCTGAATCATACAAATGTCTGTATTTACCAACCTCTGCCGTACTAGTTCTTGCCAGTCCGCCATGTTTTTCCGCGTCCGTCCGTCCGCGTGGTTAGAAATTTTCCGAGGTGCGCGTTGTGGAAATTCTGGGCCGTGCGGAGGCGCGGTGGAGGGGCGTGGTTGTTAAAATGACGCAACTTTTCCGCGCGGAGCCGTGCGGACCTCGCGGACGCGTCAAGCATACACCAACCTTTATACTGCTTCAGCCTGTGAAGCATTTAGAAAGGGTAGAACACATAGACACGGAGCTGACGTCAGACTAGTGCTGTGGGTGTTAGCTTGTTATGATGGTGGATTTGACGGATAACGGCCTCTGCTGGCAGCAGCCCTACAGCTCGGCCTAGGTGTGATGTAGGAGGTAAAGCTGGGATGGTGCATGCCTGACATCATGTTTTTGACAGGAGAGAAGTGGCTCAACGGTGCCATCCATACTGAACAGAATGCAAACCAAGCAGACACCACCTACCTTCAACAAGACCAACAAGTTCACATCAGGCTTCCAGAACATCGTTGATGCCTATGGGATAGGCAACTATCGGGAAATAAATCCAGGTTTTGTTCAGAAGTGTTTGAGGATTCATTTGCACTGGTGTACGTTGGCCTCCAGATAACCAGTGTGTGGTCTCATCCTTCAGCTCCCTATACCATTATAACCTTCCCCTTCCTGTTTGCTGTCATGTTTGGGGACATGGGCCACGGTCTTCTGATGACTTGTGTTGCCCTGTACTTGGTCATCAGAGAAAGTCGCATCCTTGCTCAGAAGAGTGACAATGAGGTACGTATTTTTAAACAAGTTATCTCATTAAACACAAAGTGGTCCTGCTGGTTGACCATAGGGTGCCTGTGACGAGGTGATGCTTGTGCCGGCAGATGTTCAACATGGTGTTTGCTGGTCGCTACATAATCCTTCTGATGGGCATCTTCTCCATCTACACTGGCCTCATTTACAATGACTGCTTCTCAAAGTCCCTGAACATGTTTGGTTCTGGCTGGAGTGTCAGACCCATGTTTAGCACCAAAGGAGCTAACTGGTCGTAAGTCTACCAGCTCTCAGCTGTGCCACTGATTGTTGCTGGGGGGTAGTCCCCTGTAAGACCTGTACATGTAAACTGTTTTGTCCATTTCCTGCTGTAGGTTTGAGACTCTTGATAGAAATGCAGTTCTGCAGTTAGATCCTGCTGTTCCTGGTGTGTTCGGTGGGCCTTATCCTCTTGGAATTGACCCAGTAAGATGTGTGTGTGTGTGTGAGTGTGTGTGCGTGTGTGTGTGTGTGTGTCTCACATGCTGGTTTCCTTTGCAGATCTGGAATGTTGCCACCAACAAGCTAACGTTCCTGAACTCGTTCAAGATGAAGATGTCGGTGATCCTTGGCGTTACCCACATGCTGTTTGGAGTGTCCCTCAGCCTCTTCAACCACCTGTATCTTGTTCTCTCTACATTAAGATTCGACAGCTATTTTCTTTTCTCGCCGTCAACAGTTTTACCTGAATGTGACATATGTGAAACAAGCTAGCTTTTCAATGCAAACATAATAACGGAACACTCTCGTCGGGCATTATCCTTGAGATGCTTCTGTCAGAACCAAACACCTGCAATGCCAGAGTAAACAAGATAGTGCTAAACACCAGTCACCATTTTCTAGGCCCAAACGTCTGTTGTTGTCCGTGACTTCAAACTGTTTTCTTTTAGTGACTTTGGTAGTTTGTCTTGAAGTTGAAGTGTGGTAACAGCCGGCTGTTTCTCCTTCTCTGATGATATTGAGCAGAGAACCTTCTCATACCAGTGGTGCTCTGATGCTAAGTACCTCAGGTCGTGGTGGAGGCCTAGCTGTTGTTTTCAGAGACCATCTTCCATGTAGCTCTACAACCTCTGGTCACTTTGCTTCCTTTGAACTGCAGCTGATTAAAGTCGGGCGTAAGGACCCGTTCTACTGTGCTGTGGTCTATCGTCCACCTGGTCCAACCAGCTCTTTCCTTCAGGAGTTTAGTGACTTTCTATCCTCCACTGTGAAGCTGTCCAGACTGGTGATTGTTGGTGACTTTAAAATCCACGTTGATGATCCCTCCGATCTCTTTGCCATGAATTTCTCCAGCCTTATGGACTCCTTCAGCTTTACCCAGCATGCTTCTGGCCCCACACACACCAGGAGGCACACTCTAGACCTTGTTTTTACCCTGAGTCTAAATGCTGGCAGTGTTTGTCCTGAGGATGTTTATATTTCAGATCACCATTGCATTTTCTTTAACTTGTCAGTTTCTGCGTCCCCACCTCCTGCTCGCCGTATGGTTAGTTCTCGTTTTCTTAATGAGAGCACAGCTAGCAATTTTTCTGCTGCTTTTGATCCACCCTGTTCATCTGATTAGGGCCTTACATGGACAAGCACCATCATACATTGGCGATCTTCTCAGCCCCTACACCCCCAGCAGGTCCCTGAGGTCCAGTGACCAAAGCCTACTAGTTGTGCAGCACCAGGCTAAAGGTCAAAGGGGGCAGGTCATCTGCTGCTCTTTAGCGTGACCTTTGTCGTCACCCTTTCCTTTTTCTGTTCTTTCTACTAAATCTGCTTTTCTTGGGATTCACTAATTACCTCTTTTTTTATTCATTTTTTCTTTCCCTTTCCTCACATTTTTAATCACACTTTCTTACCCCTCCAAACTGGATGATTTGATCATTTTAAATGTTTTCTAGTTTTTATTTTTTTATTGTTGTTGTCAAGTGAAAAGCAGTTTATGATTTTTATCTTTAGAGGAGCTGTATAAAAAGTAGTTTCTTCTTCTTTTTCTTCTAATGACTGGAGGCAAGGCAGCTTTATTTCTAGAGCACATTTCAAACACAAAGGCAACCCCCCCCCCCCCCCCACACACACACACACACACACACACACACACATTTTTTATGCTTCTGGCGCCCGTGCCCACCACAATACATCTGTAGCTGTACTGCGTTAAAGCGTTGTTAAGAGGCGTGAAACAACATTGTGGGCTAGCTTGTTTTGCAGATCTACCATTGTAGCTTTAAGCATCAGCATTTCTAGCATTAGAACGTTAGCACAGTGTTTACTTTGCTATAAATATTTTCCTTCGGGTCTTCCTTCACTGCTCTGCAGGTACTTTAAGAAGCCTTTGAACATTTTCTTGGGCTTCATCCCGGAGATAGTCTTCATGTCCAGTTTGTTTGGCTACCTGATCCTGCTGGTCTTCTACAAATGGACAGCCTATGATGCTAACACCTCTAAAGACGCTCCCAGCTTGCTCATCCACTTCATCAACATGTGCTTGTTTAACTACAATGACCCAACCACCAAGCCCCTCTACAGTGGACAGGTGCTCTTCTCCGTCCTGTTAAAAATGTCCTAAAGCAATATATGAAACTTAGTTGAGGCTCACAATGACCCAGGAACCCTGACAAATGGCCAAACACATCACCATAATAAAGCCCACAATGGAAGTAGACCCGCCCACTTGGCTGGGACATGAATATAAGAAATGCCGATTGGCCAGTAATTAGAGCCCTGCACGGGCCTAAAATCTGAGCCCGTGTCCGGCCCGGCCCGAGGGGGTGGAGCCCCAGCCCGACCCGAGGGGGTGGAGCCCCAGCCCAGCCCGGTCCGAGAAGATTTTCAGGATTCTCTGGCCCGACCCGAGCCCGACTTTTTTTAACCTTACATAATGTTTTAGCGTGATAGGATGCTCCGTGTTCTGATTATCCGTGGGAAGCGTTCTGCAGTAAATAAATAAATAAAATAAAAACAAAGAAAAGACAGAAAAACAGCATCAGTGCAGCTTTTTTTTCTAACAGAGCGTATTTTTCGAGCGGCAGATGAAATTTACGAACACTATATTAATTGGATGCGTTTGTAAATTTAATCTGCCGCTCTGAAAATGCGCTCTGCAGTTAGAAACAAACCAGCGATGAATGCTGTATTTTTTAACTGCCGAGCGAATTTATTCACAGAAAAACAGAACGCTGCCATTTTCATGAGAATAAACGAATGGTTTCTGACATCAAAGTGGACGTAAAACGGCATATTAGAACAGGGGTACATGTTTCAATCAGCAGTTTGAGAATTCGTTTATGTCGGCGCGTTTATAAACCACACACACCTTAACTGAGCTAACGGTGTGTGAGAAGCAGGCAGGTGCTGCTGCGTTCAAGTGTTTCAGGTTTTTTTTATGAATTCGATTAAAAATGAAGGCGCCCGGCCCGGCCCGTGTCCGAGGTAATTACACAGTCGTTGGCCCGAAGCCCGGCCCGCGGGCCGACCCGACCCGAGGGCCGGGCTTCAGTGCAGGGCTCTACCGGTAATGGCTGACTCCGATTCTGAAGATATTCACTCGTCCAGTGTTTGTGCGCTCTGGGTCTGTGTCCAGGGGGAATAAGGGACAGGCTGGGTGTAGAAAGGACGGTAAAAACACAGACGAGTGAATTAGCTCCCATCACAAATGTGGGGTCGTGCTGACGATTTTTGCCATTTACAGTTTACCTTTATCTGTAATTATTTTCAAACTACAACCTTTTGCAATAGTCATCTCAAAAGTGAATATTTGATTAAAAACTCTGGCACTGCGAGTGTGTTAGAGCAGAGAAACAACTAAAACAAGCTGGGTAGCAGACCAGGACCAGGATATGTCTAAGCTTCACCTCTTCTCTTGTCTTCCAGTAGGATTCATGGTTGTTTGTAGAAAAGCTGTTCTGAGTTTGTTTTTTTAGTATTTTCAGCTCCAAAGTCCCGCAGAAGTACGCAGGTTAGTCGGCTGAGCTGTGTGGGGCCTAGTGCTGACCCCCTCCCCCGTTTGCCTCTGTAGATGGGGATCCAGGTCCTGCTGGTGCTGATTGCCCTGGCTTGTGTTCCCTGTATGCTGATTGTGAAAACCATGGTGCTTCGACGCCAGCATCTGTGGAAAACACACATGGTACGTGTCTCTCAAACCACCAGTTACATTTCCCACATGGTGATGATGTTTTTGATTGAGCCTTTGTCCTCACTCCTTTCTTGCCTCATCTCATTAGTCATGCGTCTCGTGTTGTGTTGCGTTGAACGGTGCTTGGAACCCCGGGGGAGGAGTGGGCGATTTCAGTCCCATCACTCTAAAGACCTGGGCGTCATGTATTTAGCTGCTTACGGAGTTAACTGTGTGAGTAATTTTCTATGTAAACATCATGATTTATAAAGAAAACGTGAGGAGAAAATGTAACTTTGAGCAAAGTGACCCTGGTGGAAGAGTGGAAACTGGTAGCAGCAGTGAGACAGGGACATGGTGAAGTAAAGCTTGGTTTATGCTTGACGCGTTCACTTTCCGCTTGGTGATGCGGCTCGCGGCTGGAACGCGCTTCACAACTCGCAGCGTTTATGGTTCATGCGGCTCGTCTCTGCGGTGAGCCAATATTCTCCCAAACTGTAGGGGGCAGCATGGAGCTCTACGGCATGCACCCAACACTACACCATAGTAGAAGTAGAAATGACTGTTTACAACATGGCATTCCAGCATTTTTTAACAGCGTCCTCGTCTTTTCCGACAGTGCGAGCTATTTCTCTCCAAGAATTATTAACAACATGTTGATCACGGTGATCTCTGAGAGCCGAATCATACAAATGTCTGTATTTACCAACCTCTGCCGTACTAGTTCTTGCCGGTCCGCCATGTTTTTCCGCGTCCGACCGTCCGCGTGGTTAGAAAATGTCCTAGGTGTGCGTTGCGGAAAGTTTGGGCCGTGCGGAGGCGCGGTGGAGGGGCGTGGTTGTTAAAATGACACAATTTTGCCGCGCGAACCTCGCGGACGCGTCAAGCATACACCAACCTTTACAGACCTGTAGACACCACGCACACACACACACACTCACACGCACACACACACACATACACACGCACACACCTACACACACACACCAGTGGACCATAAAGGGGGCAAAGGTTAGGAAGAAGGGCCCAGCGCTGACGGGGACCCCAAAAGATTTAATTTTAGTTACATTAAATAAAAAATAATCAACACTGTACTCACAGTAATGAAACAATCTTTTTTTCTTCATAAATGTCGTCTGTCACAGAGGTCTCTACTTTATTTAGAAACTCACAGGAGCCCCCGTCCCTGCTCTTTAACTGGTACGGCCCTGCCTGACTGGGTGCGCTGTGGGCGCAGCGTCTCTGAGCAGCACCGACGTCTGGAGTCGGTCCCAGTCCCGGAGCGGAGGACAGGAGGGAGAACAGAATCAGGCTCATTAATAACAAATGTGATAACGAACACTAAAGTAAGGAAACCGCTTAGAAATAAAAATAAAAACAAAACTTTGTAAAACAAAAGGAAACGGAGTTGAGCGTTCACAACTGTTTGCAGAAGATTAGCTGCAGTTTCATTAATATGAAGTCCAGTTTCAGTTCCTGTTCTAATTTGTCTACTCGTAGCCCTTAAGCTAGCTGCTCTTGGACTAGCATCACTCTTGTGACCAATCGCTGAAGCGCTTTGATGCACGCCCGCCTACCGCCGGCACCACATGGGTGATGTTCGTCTCCTTTTCATTCTTCCCAGCTGTTATGCTAAGAGCTCATCCTTGGTCTTCGTGTTAGCAAGCTAACACGTCATGCTAATATGGAAATAGATTACCTTACCTCGACGTTGGTCCACCTCATGGCTGTGAGCGACAACCTTCACCATACAAGGTATGTTCCTGGGCTCCGGCCCCATTTGTGCCGCGCCCTTTTCAGCTCAAGCTCCCTACGAGCGGACCTCTTCACATCAAGCTCTGAGGACATCTCCTGGTGGCTCAGGATTATTCGCTGGATGTGGTGGCACTCCAGCTGAGGATGATGATGATGGGGCTGGCTACAACAGCCCTTCCGTCCCTCCTGGTCTATCCGGAGGTCGACGAGGCCCCCAAAGTGGCCACAAGGCTCTACAGCCATCCCGGTCTCACCGGCGGTCGGCGTCCAGGCCCTATATAGTCCCTTCTGGTCAACGGAGGTTGACGCCGAGGCCTCCTCTTTAGGCGCCCGCTCCGAGCCTCTCACCAGCAGAGTGATGCTCTGGAAAGCGGCCTGCCATCACCTCACCAGTCTCAGACTGCGAAATCCTCCACATCCCAGTCTGGCTCCATTTAGCGGGAAATATTGGCGCCACAGACCCTCAGCCCTGACGACCGCACCTCCTAGCCTCCACGGACCATCAGCCAGTACCTAGCCTGAGCCTGCCACGCTCACAGCGTTAATCTCCATGAACCGGACCAGACCCAGCACATACTGCTCGAAGGCTGGAACTGACGCAGCTCTCCGCTGGCTTAATGCGCCCGGCTCTCTGTGATGTTTACATCACATGCTGGGATCTCATCGGCCTCTCCACACATCTGCCAGTGTAATTAAACTTGCTGAACTGACTGTGAGAAGCCTGACGAGTTGTCCTGCTTCATGCATCATGCCAGCAACGATCTGCATAAGTCACCATGGTGGAGTTTGTTCACTGCCACCTCCACTCATGCAGGACTGCTGTGTTGAGCATGTGAGCCTGCTGCCATTCAGGTCCACCTTCCAGGTATCCTAAACTAATGTCCAAGGGAGGACCACTCCATTCGGTTTGGCATTTCCATCCCAGTCTGATCGCTCAGACCAGGAACGGGCTCGGCTAACCACCATCGTGTTTTATCCCTGAGCCCACGAGATTGGACCTTACTGGAACAGACGCTAAGATGCTTCTCATGCGTTTTCTCACCGATTCCTTGACTTGTGGATCAGTTGTCGGGTGATTTGGATCTCATTGACCCTGATAGTCCCCGATGTGCCCTGCACCTTGGTCCCTGGGTGTACAGCAGCTTGTTAAGAGCCTCACCATAGCTGCTTCAAAATAAACAAACAAAAATAAAATGGCGTATCTGCTCAGACAGGAGGTCTGAATGGGACGGTGGTTTAGAGCTGAAGTTAAGTTTGCACTAGCTGTCGCAGAGCGGTGAGCTGTAGACACAGCCACGCTCAGGAGCCATTTGGTGGTGAAAGCACTTGGAGGCTTCACCCCCTCGTGACTCTGTTAGTTAGCACGATTTAGTGTGCACGTGCCTCCTCTACCCATGCACTAAGTGGACTGCTTTCTGCGGTGCCCACCCTTCCCTCTCATTTGTAAACAGCGCTCCATTCAACTCAGATTACCGTCTAAATCAGTCCCCCACCCAGGGCCGTACCTGGACTGTTGAGAGGCCAGAGCCAATGCCTCTCGTCCTGGGCTCCTGTCTCTCAAAGCTTCCTAGGAAGCTTCCTTGGGCTTGTATCCTGGTTATCCTTCCTGCAGGTGCTACTGGTCAGAGCCTTTTCATATGTATGCTGAAGTCATCTCTTCCTGTCGTCACCGTTATGACACATGCCGAGTCTGTCTACCTGTCATCATGGCTAGAGACAGATGGGGTTGTAAGGTCATCAGGTGACACGGACCTGCGTTCTGCTCTCTAGTCCCCTTCAACAGTGTTCTTATGTGGTCTCCTTAACCTCATCAGAGCCATAAACCTGTTCACTCAGGTTCCTGTTGCCACCCACTGTGATTACCAGCCCAGGGCTGGTGGTCCTGCCATCTTAGAGCATTATTAGCCTTTTCGTTTCCAGGACATTTACCTGGATGAATGTTACGTCCTCCCCACAATCCTGACGAGGAGACTACTTCTGTCCACTCTGCTCAGTGTGCATGATTGGTTGCTGTAGCTCACACACCTGCTGAACAACAGAGACCGTTCCATCAGACGTCCTCTGTCGGCCCAGCACCTTCACGCTTCCTGTGTGAAGCTGTTTCACTCACTAATGCTTCATCGGGGCATAATTCCCCGATAAGCTGAGAACACATTCCATCAGAGGGTTTTCCTCTTCCACGGGGATGAACAGTGGTATGTGGATCCAAGACTTCTGCCTGGCTGCAGCTTGGTCGTTCATTTGTTCTTATCCTGAGATGTGTGTTCAGCATCCGTCTCTCTCAGTGCTCAGAGCGTCGATGGCTGGTTCATTTTCCGCTTCCTACCACAAATGCATATGCCACATGCTGACTTGTTTACCCGAGTCATGTGTTACCACAGCCATTGCCCATGGGTTTTCATTCAGGCCCCATTACTCCCGCCTTGGGTTACACTGGGGCTTCCTTCTGACCCACTGGTCACCTACCTCCTGTCTGGGGCGGTGCTGGTTACCCTTCGGGTCGGGTAAGTCCTCTGTTTACCCGACTGGCTGTGATTCAGGAGAACTCTTCCTGAGTGTTCCCCTGCTGGGTGAATACACACTGTGACGCCACACACGGTCTCTCTGGCAGCATCAGCCCTCTCTCTAGAGTGTGTCTTTCTTTAGCAAGGGTCTTTCCTATGGATGCCTCCCTATGGTCCGAGCTGAACCAGTGTGGCGTAAGCTCATCCAGCTGCGCATTATTCCAATAACAGCTAGCTTAAGGGCTAAGACTAGACAAAATAGAACAATGGTTAAGTATGGTAACCCCTGATTCAATGAATCTAGTCGCAGCCCTTAAGCCAATGGCCCCACTGGTTCTGATAGGACCAGGAGCCATAGGAGATGAACCGTGGAGCTACTCTACTTATATACCCATGTGGCGCCCTTGGTAGGCAGGTGTACATTAAAGCTTTTCAGAGTGACATTGTTCCAATAGCTGCTAGCTTAAGGGCTAAGACTAGACTCAGAGTCTGGGGTTACAATACGTAACCAACATTTAGTTTTCTTGCTGCATTAAGCCCGGGGCACACAGAAGACACATGCGCTACGCTACAACAGCGCTGCGGTTTTGGGAAGTCAAATGGTCACACAGGACTCGCTATGCCGTTGAACGCTTCTTGGAAAATTGCAAAATCAATAGTCACAACATCACGCGGGACTTGAGAACAGGAAGCAGAATGTGACTCTTGTTTATACGTGATCCGGCTTGCCGTCATGTCTTGTGTTACTCGAATTAATTAAAAATGGGCAAGTACGCTATTTGTAGTATAGAATAGTACTTTGCTTTGAAGTTATCAATACTGTAATCAAGTCGCATTCATAAGCTCCTCGTCCATCTTTTGGCGGTTGGGTTTGTGCCGTGGAGCCATTCCACGTCGTAATGTCTGCTGCAAAGTACTCCACAAAGTTGTAAACATTCGCGCCACGGTGCTTAAAATAGAACTGGCGCCCCTGACACACACACACACACACACACACACACGCGCACGCACACACACACACAGTTCAATTAGATTTATTTCTGTAATTGCGTTTAAAAGTGAAGCTTGGACGAAGGGTTGGGCATCAAACATCGACTGGAACAGAGTCCGTCAGTTTTTACCAGAATCATTGAATTTTTTATTTTGATTCCTAGTTTTGAAAACCAGTCGCTGACCAGTAGAAGAATTTGCGGCCAATGTCCGTGAAAAAAACAAAAAAACGTGATCTGAACGTGACTACCGCCTGTATAGTCTGCTTACACACTGCTGCGCTAACGGCGCTTACACGTGTTTCCTACTGGAGGTGGTTGGGTGGGTCTGGTGGTGCATACGGCAGCCTAGACTCTGTCCGTGTGTCCCAGGACCGCTGTGGCTACCACCATGGGCGGCTCCAGGATTTGTGTAGTTGCTTGGTCGGTGTTTGGGGTTGGTGCTCTCCGTCGGCACGGACTGAAAAGTGCGGGGGGATAAGGTGACTCATCTGTTTGGATGATTAGGGAGTGCTCCACACGCGCCGGATCGGCGTTAAAGTCCCGCTCCTGGTTTGATGCCAGCCACGGCTCTCTCCACGCAGTTTATACAAGATTTAAACAGGAAACGGGAAACTGTCAAAAAGGCGGCCCAGAGACTGCTCACGCTACTCTCTGGGCCGCCACATGGGTGGTGGGGCATTCGCTAAGCCGTAGCTTTAGCAACCCCTAGCTACGGCCTGGCACCGCCCATGGCTACCATGATGGCTCATCACCATCAGTGGGGAATGGGTGAGGGCCCTAGAAGGTGCTATACCAAATGTACCATTTATCTCAGCGTTTCCTGCTGCTCTCTTCTGGAAGAGCTCAGAGCTTGCTCATTAGCTGCTCTACCAGTCTAAAGGTCACAGCTCTGATGACCACTGATGTCGTGGCCTTCACCAGTTCCTCTAGTTCCTCTTTCAACTCTTGGTGTTTGTCCTGCTTCTCGTGTGCCGTCTTCCTGTCACCTGGGCTCTCTACATCTGTCCGTCAGCTGTTTGTCTGTCTGGATCTGGAAGTCCCAGCTGATCCACTGAACCTCCTGGACAGATGTTCCTGAGCACATTCCCGGCCACTTGGTCTTCCCTGTTCAGTCCTGCACCTAGGATGATGCCACGGGATCGTATTTGTTGTCTTGTGTTCATCTTCAGTGTTGTCCTGAATGAAAACGTGCTCTTTGACGCAGCTAATCATGTTGTCCTTCATAAATCAGCCGCTTACATGAATGTTCGTCTGTCATCATCACTGCTTGGTTGTAATCAGTTGGAGTAAAATAAGAAGGAAGACTTCACCCTTTGGCTTGCTTTAAGCTAGACACAGATTTTGTGGCTTTTGTATCTAGTCCCAGAAGAGGGAAGAAGCCCCTGCAGAGAATCTAGAGCAGTCTTTAGAGCAAACAGGGGTGACCTCATCATGCACCGGACTCACCCAACAGGGCACGCAGAAGTTCGGAGGAGTGCGTGTGGGCAACGGACCCACAGAGGATGAGGCTGGCATCATGGACCACGACCAGCTCTCTCAGCACTCTGATGAGGGAGATGAGGTGAGCCCATCTTCATGAGACATTTCTGTATTCTGTATTCTGTCTTGCTGATAACCTTTGACCTCTGCTTATTTCCAAGCACTCAGAAGAAGAGCCGGTAAGAGCCAGAGCTGATCATGAGCATGCATGCTGCCTGACCCGTTCAGTTGTTTCTGTTAGACCCAGCGCTGGGTGAGCTGCCGGTGCACCTGTGGTCCAGTCACGATGAACCAGAGGCGTGGACTCGAGTCACATGACTTGGACTCAAGTCAGACTTGAGTCATTATTTTAACGACTTCTGACTTGACTTGATAAAATCTCTAAAGACTTACGACTTGACTCGGACTTGAACACCAAGGACTTGCGACGTGAATCGACTTGCATCTGTTGACTTGATGACGACTTGAGCACGTTTGATATTTTAGCACAAAAGTGGCCCGACACGGACAGAGCCCATCGATCCTCCTTGGTTCTGGGTGTGATTGACTGCTACATGCAGCGGCACTGCGTTGATGATCCAGTTCAGTTTCTGCTGTTTGAGCGAATAAACGACGCTTCAAGAAGTTTTATTCTGGAATTTATTCATTATCATCGTCATTAAAGTGAAGTTGGACAGATGACTTGGAAATTCAACGTTAAGGACTTGGACTTGAGTTGGACTTCCACATCACTGACTTTGGACTCGACTTGGACTTGGTTGTCTTTGACTTGGACTTGACTCGAGACTTGACTTACTTGTGACTTGCAAGGCAGTGACTTGGTCATACCTCTGGTATGAACACTAAAGACACACCCAGAGCAAAGAACCCAGTCCTGCCGAGTCATTAGCCTGGTGAAAACAAGCATCGGGCTTCATGACTCGCGTGTTTTTGCCCTGATTGTCTGTTGTTGTCGGGGGCAACGTCACCACAGCACCACACGATTCTGTTATAATGATTTCATAAGATGTCACAGGGCTGCATGGTGGTGCAGCGGTTAGCACTGTTGCCTCGCAGCAAGAAGGTTGCAGGTTTGAAACTCGGCTGCGGCCTTTCTGGGTGGAGTTGCGTGTTCTCCCCATGCGTGCGTGGGTTTCCTCCGGGTGCTCCGGCTCCCCCCACAGGTCACAACGTGCCCTGTAGGTTAGGTCTTGTACATCTGCCACATGAGTAAACATAAGCACCATCGTTTATCTGCCAGTTCTGTTGCACTGCTCCCTCCCTTCCCTCGGGTCCTTTATGAACATCAGAAGACGATTATGTGGAGAAAGGAAATGAGTCAACTTCCAATGTAATGCCAGACAATGGGATTCGGTTTTCCACAGGAAAGGTCAGCTGTGTCTCAGGAAGGAGAGAACAAGGAGGTGGTGTGGTTTTACAAAACACCTCATCTTTGACCTGAGTGGGCTCCATGTTACAGGTCAAAGGTCAAATCTGTCATTTAATGATAGCTTAGGAAGAGTAATCAAATCTGGGCTCGGCCAGATCAGTTCCAGTTTAACTCCAGGCTGGAGTGATCAAACATCTCTTCCAAAGCTCTGGGATCAGACCTCCGGACTTAAACCTCCAGCCTCACACAGACGAGCAGATGTATGTGAACACCCTGGATTTGCAAGTTCTCCCACTTAGAAATCACGGAGGTCTGAAATTCACATTGTAGAGAGCATTCAGCAATGAGCGTGTGATATTTGTACCTGTTTACCATCAACTCCTGAGTTTGCAGTTCACAAACGTGTCCGTTTTCATTTCCCACCAACGCTAATTCTAACTAATCCTCTCAGCTTGCTGGGGGCAGCACGGACAAATGCTCCGTTTACAGCACCTCTGCAGCGAGTCCCCGGCTCTAGCCACCCCCCCGTTAGCGTTAGCTGTGGTTAACAAGCTGATCGCTCCAGATCCACTAGCCAGTAGCAGCAGCCAGCTTGTGTGCAACGCTGCTCCCAGATCCACATGAAACAGGTGCTGTGGGAAATTATGGATTTTCCTGAAATATTCTGGTTCCCTTAGGCAGCCAAGAGCAAATATTTCCAAATTCAAAGGACTTGTTGTCCATAATGAGGACTAAACAGCCTCCAGTAAAAGACGGGTAAACTGAGTGAGTTTCATCCTTTTACATAACTTTCAAAAATGATAAATAAGCTTGCTGCAAAACAGTAAACAAAGAATGTTTTTGCTGTGTCGTTTTGTTTTTAGGAGGAAATGTAGATAAAAAAACTGCACAAGCACAACACTGTTGCACCATTTCTCGTAAAAGTCGATCTCAAGTGCTGTGAAGATAGCCTGAAGAGCAACTTCTCGACGCGAGGGGACAGAATATTTCAGGGGGACACAATTTCTCACAACACCTGACCTGCTAGCTGATGTCCTCCATGTGTGAACCATGACAGCTTCAAGCAGAACCAGCTTGCTTCCTTCAGGACTCATAGGTTGATGCAACAGTCTCAGTTAAAAGTCGAGTAGTTTCATGCGTTGTGTGGGTCAGGCTGGAGGGACTGAAAGCTGATTATACCGTCACGCGCACGCTAAGCTGGAGGTTGTTGGCTTGTAAGTGGGCCACCGTAGCTGTGGTACGTACGCTGACCTGCATGGCGCTGAAGAGGAGCATGACTACACTGGACTTCACACACACGGCCTTTCAAGAATTTATTTGTATTGCACCGCCGCACACCTGGGAAAACAAGCGTACCATTTAGTACACACGTCTCTGTTTGCTAGCCTGGCAGGCCATCACATACATGTGAATGTGTAATCAGGCCACGACTGATTGGTGGTTTTAAACGGTGGGGCGGGATCTATGGTTGTCTTTCACTCTCTCTCCTCGTGCTATTGGACAATGAACTACGTGACGTACTCACCGCTACGGATGTCAGTCAACAGGGTAGTCCGCCATACACCCTCAAAGACGACACGTGCTTAATTTTTCAAAGTAAAGGACTGAAGTACCTCTACCTGCTCGTGACTCAGAAAAGCCCGAATCTACATGGTCCAAAGTTGATGCCAAAGCCGTTTCAAATGATCCACCTCCAACTCAGCTTTGCTCCGTCGCAGCAACGTCTCGCCCAAACAGGTAAGGTGCTGTGATTGGCCAGCACCGACCAGATTCCCCGCGGCGGCGGAGGTTTCAGTGGAATGTGGCTGAACCAACATGCGGAGTGAAATGGTTTCGCTTCTGCAGCAGACGGTCTAGACTTCTAGGCTGTTTGCATTTACAGAGGTCAAAGGTTGCCTGTAGGTCTAACACAGTTCCGGTTTGAGTGAACGCCGGCGTGTCTGTCGCTGCTGCTCTCCAGAAAACCTTTCACAGTGTTGTGCTGTCTGCTAAACACCGGATGCTGCTTGTGAGCCGCGCTCTTAAGGATTTTATTTTGACAGTTTACGCTCGCTGGCCGACGCCGGGTTCTGGGTGGGTTCTTACCTGGCCCGCTCCTTCTCCCCTCCCTGGGGAAAGATGTGGATTTTTCAAACAAAGCATTGGTTTGCAGTGGGCTGGCTCCTCCTGTCCCTCGTCCACCTGCAAACAGGTGCTCTCCTGCAGTACGCAGCTGCCCGGCCCCGACATCCCACCTGTCATCGCATGCCAGCCCTGTCGGAGACATACTCTATGTTTATCCAGGTCGTAATGCTGCTTGTGTGTGTGTGTGACCGCCGCTCTGCTTTTTCTGTCCATCGTTGATCTGAAGTAATGGAGGACCCCCTGAGAACGAGATGTTTCATCTCAAGGTCAATCCTCCTTATAAAGATATGTTGATAAATAAAATATTCATCGTGGATCACGTCGAGGCTCGTCTCACTGCAATAATCCAGGCTCCACACCTCGCTGCTCTCGTAAAGTCACCAGGAACATCGACCGCAGTGCCCAGCTTTATTATGACGACTGAGACTTTATCGTGATGTTTGTCCTGGCTGTGTTTGTTGTGCGCCCTCCATCCTCCCTCCCTCTCCTTCCTTGTTTGTGTTGCATGTCTCTGTCCTCCCCGCCCGTCCACGCCGGTGTGGTCTAACGCGCCTCGAACATCACAAAAGCTGCAGCGCAACAGGAGAAACACCCCACCGCGGAAACAACAGTCACTCGTGAATTACAGACTCAGATATTCGGTCTGTGAGCTCACGTGTTTCTAGAGCGTGAAATACGTTGAAACTTAAGTGAAAACATCTGACTGACTGCTGAACACCGTTCAGAACTGGACTTTTGACTTGGACACTGGATACGTTTCCATAGCAACTGATATGTCACAGTGTTTGTAAAACTAAATCAAAGGAAAGCTGAGCCTGAATGGCAGTTTGGGGCATTGAATAGGTGCTGAACTGCTCTAGAAGGGATGCTAGGCCCGACAGAGAAGCTCTTTCCCTCCCTCATCTGTGCTCATGCCTTCATACCCCCCCCCCCCCCCCCCCTACTGCCTTTGGTTCCTGTCTTCTAGTCCCTTTAGTTACACATCTTAGTTTCGTGTTTCATTTATTTAGTATCGTGTTTCCCAGCCCTTCAGCCTCTCTAGCTGACTGGTTTTTCTTCTCCAGTTATTTCAGTTTATCTTCCAGTCATTCTTAGGTTTCATTCAGCCGTTTAGTTGAATCTTAGTTTACCGGATTCCTTTTTCATCCAGTTTAGTTGGTGGCCTCGTCCTAATTTCTGCTTTACCTCACCTGCTCATCAGTCTCACCTGCTTCCAGTTCCCTCATCAGCCCTTCTTGTGTGGAGCTAGCCTGTTCTCACATGCATGTGTGTTTTCTTCAGGCTTTCCTGTTTTCTCTCACAAACAAAAGCATGCATGCCAGGTGCACTGGTCGGTCCGTGTTGTCCTGATTTAGCCGGCTTCCTGGAGTTTCTGCTCTCTAGTTTTGTCGTCATCAAACCAAAACTGCAGTTTAGCAGGAAGCATGCAGGCAGATGGACAGATGCTAAAATGACTCGTTCTCTCCAGTTTAACTTTGGGGATGTAGCTGTCCACCAGGCCATCCACACCATTGAGTACTGCTTGGGCTGCATATCCAACACGGCCTCCTACCTGCGCCTCTGGGCCCTCAGCCTTGCCCATGCACGTAAGGATTTGTGTCTCTACAAAGAAATGATGATGCTGCACGTTACAGATGCCCAAAGCAAAGTGTGCTGCTGGTTTGTGTGTAGAGCTGTCTGAGGTGTTGTGGTCCATGGTGATGCACTTGGGTCTGTCCTCCCGGAGCGGAGGGGGGTTCTTTGGATTGTCCATCATCTTCTCAGCTTTTGCTGCTCTAACTGTGGCAATCCTGCTCATCATGGAGGGGCTCTCGGCGTTCCTGCATGCCCTGCGTCTGCACTGGTGAGAGATGCACGTGATCACATGACATACTGTACTGTAGGTGAGATATGCTCCTAGAAATGTGTACGGCAGATCTGGTGTTCACTCACCAGTACACATCCAGGGAGCAGACTCTGAGGTGGTGGACACCTGTAGGTACCTGGGTGTTCACCTGAACTGGTCCAACCACACAGATGCTGCGTAAGACGGGCCGCTGCTGTACACACCCCTACAGCACCGCTGGACAGGATTCATGTTTATTATGCAGCAGGTGGTGGAAGTTCACCACAACATACATGTTTCTATGTATTGTATGTTATAAATGCACTGTAATGGGCTCGACACACGGGAGGCGACAAACGACCGCGATCAGCGAAATTTGTCGCCGTCGCTTTTATTACCTGACACACGGAGGGCGACCCGCGGCAGCGGCAAAGCCGTCGATGCGTTCTGTTCCATGGCGAAATCGAAACTTCCGTTGTGTTGATTGGCTGTGTCAGGTTGGAGGGAATTAAGGTTATTTAAGCGGTTCAGAGTTAATAAAGCGGTAGATATGATGTTTCACAAGGTGCTGCTAGAGTTATGTGAAATCTTACTCCTGATTTTACTATAAAACATAATAATAATCAACTTCTCCTCCATGTTTGCTCGGAGGTGTACGGAGCATCCTGTCCGCTCATTGGTCAGTGAATGAAACCTCCGCTGATTGGTCCTCGTCCGAGCGACAGCGATGAAAAGTTGAAAATGTTTCTGGGATCGCGTCGCTGGGTTGTACGTGCACGACACGTGCATGAGCACAAACTTTCACACGCACGTTTTTCGCGTTTCGCTTGGTAGGAGGGAGACCCGCGATTATCGCTTTGTCATGCATGTCTCATTGAAAATGAATGGAGGAGAGGCGATGTGGCCTCCCGTGTGTCGAGCCCGTTACTCTTTTGCTGTCAGTATGCATGATAACTTAAACTGGGTATGTATAGTACTGAGTATGACTGAAAAAGTGGAGCCTTTCGGCCCTACACTATGGACTAGTGCACTGGCTCTTCTGTACCCGGGATCAGGAGCTTTCTCCTCTCCCTCTGACTGCTCTGTGCAGGTTGATCATTCTAGCCATCATCAAGCAGCCCTGAGTTGGAAACTTTGTGTTCTGGTCGATATACGCAGACGCGCTCCTGACTGCCTCTTTCCTTCTTGGCATCTCCTTTCAGGGTGGAATTCCAGAACAAGTTCTACTCGGGCCAGGGATTCAAGTTTGTCCCGTTTTCCTTTGAGAGCATCATGGAGGGCCGGTTTGATGAATGACCCCGAGGTCCACAGGGAGCCCGCGGATTCCTCAGCCGTTCATTCATGTGTATGTGTTGTGTTTACATGGTCTAGTAACCCCCCGGTGGTACTTAGTGAACTAGTGTGCATGAGCTCGTTGTAACTCTGTTACTCTGGCCCAGTCTCAACACTCACACCGCGGACGTCGGCTACGTGCACTAGGAGGAAGTGTGCACTGAGACAGGGAGCGCTGCCTCATCGATCACAACGCATGCCGGGCTGCTGGTGGCTTTTTCAGAAACCTTTATTAACAACTTTTAAACAAACAGCCAAACAGTTCTTTGAAATAAATTTGCATTCATTGCTGCTTCGTCTGAAACACTCAGAGCATCAACTAATCGTCCTGAAATGAACTAATTTCATTAGAAAATACACGTTTTCACAAAAGGAACTTGAACCTTTTCTCCCGCAGCAGTGAATTGTGGGTAATACCCTCGACCGAGGATCGCATCGCTTTGGACTTGGGTGAAGCGCAAATTAAGGGTGCAATGAGGGCGTGGTCAACTTCTGCACTTGAGAACCGAGACACCCTACGCAGTCGCACCGCTGGCTGGGAACGCACGAATAAAGGGTGCGAGTGTGAGTGCTGGGACTGGGCCTGCGTCTACCCCCCCCACAGACGCTGCTGCTCTAAAACAGTGTTGTATATCGTGTTTACATGACTTTATCCGCCACATACGTCACACTGTTAGTACCCAGTGTAATTGATGTACTTACACACACACACACACACACACAATAAAGACTACGGTCCACAGCATTCCACACACACGTTAGCCCTGACCTACCTGTAGGTGTTGTTTGTGACGTGATGACTGCTGTTATGAACGGTGACTTATATCTGGTAATAAAGAGGAGACCTGCGGACATATTGCTGCTTGTTCGGTTGTTCTGCAGCTCTGTCCGTATCACACACACACACACACACACACACACACACCTTTTTTATTTTAACTACAACAGGTCTCAAGTTGCCTCCTTTATAAAGCTGCTTACACACAAAACACGGTCTGAAGACTGCCTACGCGACTTTCCACACAAACTCTGTGATTCATAAACAGGAAGTTGATGGACAAGCCTCGCCTCCGTCAGTGCACCCCAGGTCGGCTGTGGCTACAGTGTAGCTCATCACCACCAGTGTGTGAATGGGTGAATGACTGATTGTAAAGCGCCTTGGGGGGTTCCAGGACTCTAGAAGGCGCTATATCAAATACAGGCCATTTACCATTTGGTTTCTTGAAGACGTTTCACATCTCTAGAAAAGTTAGGGAGACCGTTTCTTCTAGAAGGCATGGGGTGATGGTGAGAGGAGTTTGTATCACTCTCTCTTACCTGCCAGCAGGTCCAGCCTCTCGGCTGAAGCCTTCCACACCGGCCGTCATCAGGAATGCTGACGTGGCTCATATCCGGTTTCCCCAGAGAGCGTGTGGAGATGTGGTGTCCACATGCGCTTGATGGTGTGGCGGCGCTGAGGAGCGTGTCCCGGGGTCTCGAGCTCGTATGCTCCTTCATCCCTGTTATGGTTGAGCTGTCGTGTGTTTTGATTTTTATAGATTTCTGTATTTTCCTGTAATCCGTGTTGTTCCAGACCATCACACGATTACTTTGTCTGCAGTGGCCGGTTCTGTGTTGCTGTCAGCCACCTGCTTTTACGTCTTGTTAGACTGGTTCTAGTCTCTTTTTCACACTCCGTATGATGTTCGTTTGTTCGGATGTGCAGCTGTCGTCCTCTCAGATGTGACGTTTTTTACATGACAGGCAGGTACTTCATAGATGACATTGCGTCGTCGGTCGGGATTTGCTTGGTCCGGGAATACCGGACATCGGCCACGTCAGCAATCCACCTGGTGACAGCCCATGAAGAAGGCACGGCAGCTTTATTTATAGAGCACATTTCAAACACGAACAATTCAGCTGCTTTACAGTTAGCAGGAAATGAACCAGCAACAAACACGAGAACACATTAAAGATACACACAGATGGAATTACAGTTTAGAGCTAAAGGAGAAGACAAAGTTACATCACAGATCAGAGCGGAGACGATGCAGCAGAAGAGACAATTCATGTAAGGGTGATGAGTACATGAGGGTTTATGTTATGTTCAGCATAGTAACCAAACGCGTCTCCACCATGTTTGGTTGAAGAAGGCTTCAGCCCAGAAGCAAAACTGTTGGCAGGTAACAGAGATACAAACTCCTACCAACATCCCGTGCCTGCTAGAAGAAACTTTTTTATTCTAATTAATGAACCGTGGCTCAACGAACGTCTCTTTAATGTTTTACTTCTCATCCATGGAGCTTTGTCCGTTCTGACTGGAATATGGGAGAGAAGCGTAAAGAAGCTCCACTCACTCCCAGAAGATAGGATGAGATGTGTGGCAGAAGATGTTACTTTTGTTTTCAAAGTCCATCTTTCAGTTCTTTTTACGACACAGAAAAGGTTCATTTACCTGCAACGTTTCGTCTGCGGCTGCCGGCTTCTTCAGGCTGACGCTGATGGTGGCGCGTCGCTTCCTTCTCCGTTTATCTGCGGGCAGCAGAGGACGTCATCGCCCTCTGCTGCCCGCTCTCCCCTCTCCGACGATGCAGTCCCATGCACGATCCAGCGTGTAAACTCCGTCGTCTCTGTTCATGGTCCCACATCCACGTCTCCTTATCTCGATAGCTTCTTTTATCCATCTTTTGTATTTCTGTTGTTCGGTGTTTATGATCCTTGTGTTGTCCCAGTCCATTATATGGTTTTCTCTTGTGCAGTGATCTGTTACGGCTGACTTCTTTATTGTGCTTTCTGCTTCTTCTTTTGCTGCTCTTGTGTGTTTTTGACTTGTTTCTTTCTCACACTCCTTTCTGTGTTCTATTGTTCGTGTGTTGAGTTGGCGTCCGGGTTCTCCTACGTATGTTTTATTGCAGAGTTTGCATGGGATTTCGTAGACGACTCCACGTTTAAGTCCAGCTGGTATCTTGTCTTTTGGGTGCACTAGTCTGTTTCTAACTGTTGTGTATGGCTTTGTTGGTGTGTTTATGTTGGGACTGCATCGTCGGAGAGGGGAGAGCGGGCAGCAGAGGGCGACAACGTCCTCTGCTGCCCGCGGATAAACGAAGGAAGTGACGCCACCATCAAAGATGTTACGTTTGTGTTGTGCTGATTCACTTGGAGAGAATAAATGATGTGATCAGACGAGTCGTCTCTGAGTTTCTCCACAAAACCATCTTTTATATAGCAGCTCAAGTAAAAAATCACAACGTGCTTCACAGGAACAAAAATTTAACAAATTAAAAATAAAAATAAATTTAAAAAACGTGATTAAAAACTGAGCAAAAGGAAGGAGAAATGAATTTAAAAAATGTAATAATCAGGGATGCATCGAAATCAAAATTATTGGCCAAAACAAAAAATGAGTAAACCAAAATACTGGTCTCATGGCCGCGACTTAATAACTCGTAGGAACGTGTTTCACACGTCGAAGTATCCTGTGGTCACGGGTTATTTTTCTCCCTCAATGTCACCAGGCGCGCTCCGTATTTTTGTTACTAATATCTAGTACTTTGACGGCCCCACCAAGAAAAACCTAATGAAAAAAATATTTGTTTGTGTTTTCTATTCCTTCTAGTGAATAATGATCACAATCAATATATTTTTTATACACACTTCATAGTTTTTTAATTACTACCCTCTACCAAACGGTTGAGATGTGTCTCTATGGTAAAAGTAAATAAAGTAAAATAGACATACCAACTAGGGGAAAAAAGGTCAGCATTACACTCTTTTTGAAATAAAAATAACTACTCAAAATTTTTACCCACTTTATTTTGGTAGTAAGACACCAAACAGTTAGATTCCATTTCAACTTTGGAAGTTATTCTAACAAAGTGTAAAAAAAAACAACAACACAAATAATGATCAGAAACATTTCATACAAATACTGTAAAAGATGCTCAGAACATGCAAGTTTACTTCTGACCTTTCACTGTAGTGTTGAAACAGCATAAACATTTTTTACTTTCCATAAAATTCTGAAAGTGTCCTATTCACTATTTCCACTTTGCACTGGAAATTAGAGAACACGCTGAATTTTTTCAGGTTCTTTTCTTTTCTCATTTATGATGCAACTGCACCAAAACCTCCTGGTCATTAGAACCTCTGGTGGTACGCTGCAAAGCATTCCTGATTTGCATTCAAGCACAGAAAAACGTTGCATTTCTGGCATTTCCATCTTGACACACCCTTTGGACAATAACAGCATCGGCCTCGCTTGTCACAGTGAAGTGGCCAATGCCCACAGCTGTCGTATCGCACATCTGGTTGTGGTTGTGAGGGTCTTGTGATGTGGCGTTTCTTTGATGGGGGTGGAGAGCTGGATGATGGTCGGCCATCTTTGGATGCTGGCTTGTTGACTTGTTTCAAGCTATGGGCAACTGCAAGGCGGAATCTTTTCAAGGAGATTGGTTTCTGATTCAGTTGTCCACACTCCCTTTCGTAGACCAGCCAGGAGTTTGTAATGCATAGATCAAGCACGTACCCAAAGAGTGGTAGGTACCATCTTGTAGACTTGGCTGGGGTCTTGTACAGGTGTACCAGCATGTCAGAGAGATCAATCCCTCCCATATGCTTGTTGTAGGCATGGATGAGCGATGGGCATGGGATGGAAATCTTTGCCTCGGACTCTTTGCTCCAGCGTTTGACAGTTGACAATAGCATGACCCCAACGACATTACTCAGCAGATTCGTTGTCAACCCATTTCACTGCGATCACCCCTTCAGCAGCCTTGTAGTCAAAAGCTCCACGCCCTTTCTTTGTCAGCTCTTTGTCATCAAAGTGGCTCCACCTGTGCGATTTGGTCGAACAGTGCCAAAGCATTTGACACCCAGCGAGGTGTCCAGGTACTCCACCAGTTTAAAACTGGTCAAGTAGTTGTCACAAAACACAACAGAAAGCCTGGGCTGTGTTATGGTTTTACAAAGTGTTGTCACCACCTTGGCTCCCAAAGGTAACATCTGCTCCTCTTCACTGAGGGTAGTGTTGGGTTAGGGTTAGGGTCGGATTAGGGTTAGGGTCGGATTCTTCTTGCATCTTTTTTGGGGACTGAGAAGGAATATGGGTATAATGTATCCTCTGCTTCTTCCAAGGGAACAGTTTTTAGGATGCGTTTCCTTTTTTGCTCTTTTTATGAGACAACTGTGTTGATCTGCTTGTTGAAGGAGCATCTTCTTCCATGGAAACATCAAAATAGCTTTCATCACTATCATCTGCAAAATTGGGTTGAAAATCTGGATCCTCTATAGGGTCATGATCACTCAGTTCACCATCAGAGTCCTGAGAATTTTCAGGCACAAGGGCCAGGGAAGTGCGTTGCCTTGCACCATAAAAGGATTTGCAATCCATCTATTAAATGTAAAAGAAAAGGAAATTGTAGGTGTTGTAGAAGGTTTTGTAAAATTCAAATAACTGCAATGGTTTTATTTTTGTTTTACCTATCATTTAAAACAACATTTTAAAAACAATGACAGAGTAAATCTTTTTTACTTTGTCATGTAAAACAATTAAAACACCTAACACTTAAATGTATAGATCATTAAATCATTTTATTTCATGGAAAATAGTCAATTTAACATGTCAAAACTAAATTTCTAAACATTAGCTTAGTGTTGCTAACCTTACCATCGATTGATAACTCCACCGTTTGGTTGAGCATGTTTTAGAAAATATATTCTGAATTGATTACAGTTATTTTCTGGTATCAAATGACATAATAACATTCTGCAAATACTATGACATGATTTTACTGTGGAAAAATGTACTTACCTTCAAAATTTTCTGCCAAAACAATCATGTGTCCAGAGTTTTTTTTTGTTTCTGATTTCCTGCAGATG